GTGAATGCATGCTTTTCTAGACTTCAATCCCTCTCTTTACAACCTACGTGGGTGAAAAAGAGATGATTTATAGCCAAAATGTTTTCTCCAAGTCTGAGATGTTTTAGTAAGTAAGAGGACCCTGTCCCCAGGGAAAGCAGAAGTTAAAGATTAGTTTGGCACAGTGGGAGAATAATCTCTTCAGAGTCTGGAGTTGCCTGGGGTGCTCTCAAAGAAATGGATTCCGACTTCTTTGATTCTTGAATCTCCAGCGGAACGCAGAGATCACTTTCATTTCTAGAATTCTGGGAGTGTGTTGGTCATTTTTCTATTGCTGAAGCAAAATGCGTAAGATTATCAGTTTTTATGGAGGAAAGATTACTAGGGCCCACAATTTCAGGTTTTGTGTGTTTGTTTGCTTTGCCTATGCTCACTTAGCCCCAACACTTTGAATCTCCAGCAGGGATTCAAGAGCATTGTGGTAGGAAACATACAGCCCAACAAAGCTGTTCACCTCAGGGCATCCAGGAAGCAGAGAGAGAGCAGCAGATCAGGGCTCCCAAGGTCCCTTTCAAGAGCACAACCGTAGTAACCTGACTTCCTTCTGGGAGGTTTTTGCCTCCTGAGGGTTTTGCTACTTCTGACAGCATCTCAAGCCGGCAGCTGAGTCTTTAATGCTTCATCTTTGAAGGGAACATTAAAGATACAAAGCACAATAAATCATTCTGTATAAATGGATATTGAGCCATGGTTTTATGCCCAGGAATGGCATGAGCCAACCAGCCCCATTCCCTATCATAAAATGCTTGGGCCCATTATCAATAATATGATACTACTTTGCATAACGCTTTAAGGTTTATAAACACATTCCCTGGCATGATTTCAGTTAATCTTCTTAACAACCAAATAAGGTAGTCAGTCAGTTTTATCTCTCCATCGCAGGCCAAGAGGAAACAGATTTTAGAAAGTAACAGAATGGTAAGATCAGGTTTGGAATCTAGACTTTCTGCTTCTCAGGCCAAGGCTTTCTCCACCTGTGAGTCATGGCTCTCCTCCCAATAAGTGAATTGATTGTCAAGAGACAGAGTGGACAAAGAATGCCATGACCTTATGGTCCTCATGGTTCCTATCCCCAAGCAAAGCTATTTGGAGGGATCCACCTTGGCTCACTTCCAAAGACAGTCTCTCTTGGCGAGAGAGATTGGCACAGGTGCACACAAGGGACAGAGAAGCCTCCTCAGGGCACACGTGGACACAGAAACTCATGACTATGACGGTGTCACTTACAAGGCATGTGCTTAGTCTGTGCCCTTTACATTATGTTAAATCATTATTAAATCTTACCAAACGTCTAATGGTTTTATGAAGTACTAAGATTTCATAAATAGACTTGTTGAGCCAACAAGTGTTATGTGTGGAGGAAGTAAAGGAGGCCTCCCTTGTGTGTGAGGGACTTCTGCAAGCAGTTAAAGAGGCAGCGACTGCACGCCTAACTCCTTGTAGGACATTACCAGTCTGTGTAGTGCTAGGGTTCTCTGAGTGTAGGGACAGGCCACAGGGTCCATAGAGGGCGAAGGGCTCCCTGAAAGAGGCCTATATGGTACCATACGTGGAGCATATAAAGAGACAGAGGCAGGGGAGATAGATGTCTGAGCACTGACATTGGAGTGGATGCACTGTATGTCCTAGTTTTGTGAGGCTATGACTTAGTCAGCACCTAAACCGCCGAAATGACTTTGATAGCTAACAGCAAGGGAGAAGGTAGAAAACGACATCAGCCGTAGAGTTCTGAGTATTTAGACTGTTCCAGCAGCCTAGAGCAGAATGTGGACACAGGTAGCCTTTGCCTACTGTATGGCCCCATGTCTTCAGATGTTATGTACAAAGCGCAGCTCAGCGATGAACATGGGGAATCGCCGTCCTGGGTCTCAGCAAGGCTTCAGGCATGTAGCACATGGTTTATTCTATAAAAAGACGAAGCTCCGTAATGTTGGATTTTTAACTCAAACAGTTGCAGCCTCTTTAAAATTGGACACATTGGTTGTGTATTGTCTTCGTTCTGTGGACATTCTTATTCCCTCCTAATGTGGGAAGCATTGAGTGCCAGACAAATAGTTCTCTGTAGGCGAGAGTGTGCACAGCTCTTGGAGGCATTTATAAACTTGGCGCAAGAGTACTTCTGCTCCTGCATTAGCTTGTCAGCCTGGGCATCTGGCCAGGACCGTGCCTGGCTGTGACGCACCCTGGTGCCTCTGTGAGATGAGGGATTGGAGAAGGAGCAGGGCACCCACTCTTCTCTTCTGTGGTTCTTGGGAGATGGGCTTCTCTGGCCTTGGGAAGACTGAGGCCCTGTGTGAGGCTCCATGTCTCTTGTCCCACAGCACCAGGCCCATCCTGGTAAGTTCTTAGGGGATGTCAAGGATTTTGCTCCAGCATTGGCAGCCACGAGCCTTTATTATTATTATTTATTACAATTTATTCAATTAGTATCCCTGTTCTGGCCCCCTCCATCGTCTCCTCCCAATCCCACCCTCCCTCCATCTTTTCTCCCTTTTCCCCTTCCATAGTCCACTGATAGGGGAGGACCTCCTCCCCTTCCATCTGACCCTAGCCTATCAGGTCTCATCAAGACTGGCTGCATTGTCTTCCTCTGTGGCCTGGTAAGGCTGCATGCCCCAGGGAGAGGTGATCAAAGAGCAGGCCACTGAGTTCATGTCAGAGACAGTCCCTGTTCCCCTTACTAGGGACCCCACTTGGAGACTGAGTCTATGGGCTACATCTGAGCTGGGGTTTTAGGTCCTTTCTGTGCATTGTCCTAGGCAGTGCTAGAATGTAGCCGGGTAGGAGCTCTGCAAGAGTGAGGCAAGGACAGAAGATGGCACTTGCGGGATAAAGGCATTGAGCAACGACACTGTTTCCTCAGCACTGGACTGAGCCCGTGGGATTCTCTGGGCTCCGCCCTGTGACCTGGATGAAAATCAAAACCCAGCAGCCGGCACAAGGTTTGCTTTGAAGATGGCCCTGTGAGTAACTGCCTTTAAGTTCTTAGGTTTTTTTTGAAAGGGGGATTTATTTATTCACTTCTTTGTAATGTGGATGCATCTGCAGAGTTTCTAGGCAGCATATTGCCTGAAGGAGCCACAGAGGCCAGAAGGGTGTATTAGATCCCCTGTTACAGGTATAGTCATATAGGTGCTGGGAACTGAACCTGCGACATCTTCAAGAGCAGCCAGTGCCTAATGGCTGCATCATCTCTCAAACCCCTGCCCCTCCAGTTTTTTAAGTTTGGATGAGGGACATGGTTTTCTGTTATAATAATCCCAGCACCTAGAGAAATTCGTCTGCTGGTATAAAAGCATGGGGTGAACTAGTTTGAGCCAGTGTGTCTGTCTAGCCGAGGTTTGTTTTCACACTTAGGGGCTCTGTCTCATCCTAGGCCCAGAGGTTCTGGAAAACTAGCCCGTGGGCAGAGCCAGAAGAGCAGCCGCAATGTTTGGGGAAGTGTGTGATGGGAGTGGGTGCGCCTCTGCATGCAGTGGGGGTGAGGGAACCCCTGCCCCTCTCTGGAGAAGGTCACAACAGAGGGCGGGGAGGAGGCTGAACGCACACTGAGCTGATAAAGCTCTGCAATGACACCCTTCAACTTGAGGGTCACCCCTTGGGGAAGCGACTCTTGCATCCCACACTGTCCTAATGCCTGTTCGGTTCCCATGAAGTGCAGAGGAAAGCACCCTCCCAACTAGGCCTCATCCCCAACCCTGTGTGGAGCGGAGGGAGTCAGGGGAAGGGGGGAGTGGGAGGTGACACGCGAGAGCTTCAGCTAAGGGCTGCCTGGTGAGTAGAGAGTGAAGTGACAGTCTCTGAGCCACTGTGAGAGCATGTACTCCTCCAGGAATCCAAGGCAGCCCCTCTCCTGGCATTCTGGCTAGCGTAAATAATCCTGATAAGCCCATTATCTTAGAGTGCCGGGAAGGAGCCTCAGAAGGCAAGATAAAACAGAGCTGTGGTATTTAGCACGCCGTGGTTGGTGAACGGCCTCAAGAGCTGCAGGTGTCCGGTGAAGAGCCAGCATCTAGGCTATCAGTTTGCAATGCAGTTAGTTCCAGCCAGACCACACAGCGCACACCGCCATCACATTGTGTGGCTCGTGAATTTCTGGACCTTTGTTTTCTTGCCTGGAGTGATCACGAGGGTGAGCCGAGATGGGGTGAGTGAAGGCACTTCCTGTGTCAGTGCTGGTTGATCTTGGAAACATCAGGGGTTCTGCATCTGCAGCAGAAAGTGTTTCCGGTCAGCTCCCAGCATGCACCCACGCTCCTGGGAAGGGGTGTTATCATCTGTGCTCCACAATGGTAGCTTGGAGTTATCATCTGTTGAGTGCCCAAGACAGCGGCTGAAGGGCAGGGGCTTGTGAGGATCTTAGGACCCAGATGATCCTAGCTGAAGCCACATTTCAAGTCGACTCTGCTTCATAGGAAAGCCATCCCTCTAACATTGAAGGCCAGGGGCAGTGTTGTGTGTGAAACCGGCCACTGATTGAGGGCCTCAGAACTCTGACCTTCATTCAGGAGCTCTGTGACCATCATCAAACCTCCTACTTTTAATGGAGGGGGGGGCTCCTCAATTCTCTTTCTTTCTTTCTTTCTTTCTTTATTTCTTTCTTTCTTTCTTCCTTTCTTTCTTTTCCTTTTCTTTCCTTTCTTTCCTTTCCTTTTTTCTTTCTTTCTTTTTTTTGTAAACTAAAGACAAACAGGAAAATTTCCATATACACCAAACCCAAATCTCAGTTATAGGTTGTAACTTACTTTCTCCTCTTCCAGCTACTGGCTGGATGGATACTGGGAATGGCAGAGCCTGGGAAAGGGAAGGAGGCTATAACAGTGGGACAAGTGGGGAGTGCAGGAGCCAGGGACTTTCCTGGGAGATTACCCTGACTTGCTGTTAGACTTAGAAGGACTTCTCATTTCAGACCCGCTGTAGTCTGTGAAAACCTTGCATTCATTTTTGTTCTCGTTTCACAGCATCCAGAGAGCAGCACTGGTGGTTCTGGAAAATTACTACAAGGACTTCACTATCTATAACCCAAACCTCCTAACAGCATCCAAATTCCGAGCAGCCAAGCACATGGCGGGCCTGAAAGTCTACAATGTAGATGGTATGTGCTCGAAACCGTTTGTGGGGTGTGGGGACATGGTTAGGCTGCTCTGTGGCTAAAACTTTATGGTACATTTGCTTCTACCTGTATTCCATGCTTGCCTTATAGTCTTTTCTCACTTCAGAACAATTTCTATTTTTGATTTTAAATGTAGGCAAACATGTTTTCCAGGGGAATGTCAGTTTACCATCTACATACATGTCAAGTTCATCCACTAGGGGATTTTGGTATTAGAAATTGTATTCCTTACCTCCTGCTGGGAACACCTTAGGTGAAAACCCTTAGGAAATGAATGCTTTTCAAAATCTCCACAACTAACCCAAAGACGGAGAATGCTCCCTAAAGGCAGCAGGCCTAGAAGCACAGTTCAGGCTGGGAGCCACTCTCCTGCATCTCAGTCCTGGCTGGGAGCAGGAGCCGAATGGTGACAAGAGGCTAAAGCCAGACTAGAGGAGTCAGCACCCAGGTTCATTCAGGGTGTCAGGTGACCAAGTGTGAGAAACAGGACTCCCTGTCATTTCTTGCTTGGCACCTAGGGTAAGACAAGGGTTTTGCAGACTCCAGAAGGGAATCGTGTTGTCACCAGGTCAGCTGACTTACATAGGTATCAGGTTTTCGTAATGGTATACTGTCTACTTTTTTTTTTTTTTTTTAATTTGGCTATCTAAGGTATATGACTGGTAAATTTCATTCATGATGGGAAAACTTAATCAGCAGAAACAGGTCCCCCAGAAGGAAGCCTGAGGTCCTGGCCATGTCTTTCTGCTAAGAAACTAAGTGGGGTAGTCCTCAGGCCGACTCACAGATGGGGAGTTCTGTGGTCTCTGGGCTCCGGTGTTTGGGGTGACAGCACCCAGGCTTAGCTTGTTTTCCTGTGTGTGATCACTGTACGTGTCCCTTGACGCTCTTTTTTCTCTGTCTGTCCTTGTTCTCCCGTCCTCCTCACTCTCTCTCAATGTTCGCTGCATGCGATGTCCCAGCTGCCCTTATGGCCAAACTGAAACTTTGTGTAGCGGACGGTAAGTGACATCTTCGGCACTCTCTGGCGGGTGTTGCTCTTGGCCAACGTTTTCAGGGGTGAGCATCCAACAGCCCCTTCCGAGTTCTTCTTCCACGGCCCCCATCAGACTGGGGTTAGAGTTCACGGTGGCTGTGAATTCGTAGTACCTCGCTTAGGGAAGTCACTCTTAGGATCTGTGCGTTCTCCATAGGGCGTGGGTGGGAGAGTACCAACAACAGACCCCGGCACTGTTTTTATGTTCCATTTCCTGGCCTTCGATGTTAAAGCTGCTCTACCGTTTTCCTTGCACCAAAGGGCCCAGTAACAATGCCACCGGCCAGTCCCGAGCCATGATTGCCGCGGCTGCTCGGCGCAGGGACTCCAGCCACAACGAGCTGTATTATGAAGAGGCTGAGCACGAACGGCGGGTGAAGAAGAGGAGAGCGAGGTCAGTGACCCTCACAGCCCTGGCCCCTCTTGTCAGACGTTTTATTTTTCACCTTTTTTTTTTAAAGAACTTCCAGAATTAGCTCTGTGTTTGTAAATATGACCTGTGTGAATGTTTACAGTCCACTTTGTTCTCGCGTGTCTCAGACTTTGTGTGTCATCACCACCAGACGTACCTCTAAACACTCATCACTGGCCCCAGGCCCACTCACAAAGCTTAAGGTCTGTGGGGCTGGAGCTGGAGCCTGGGCCTTTGCATTTAGAGCAGATTTCCAGCAGCTTCTGCTGCTGCCCTTGGAGGGGGCCAGCCCTACCCACAGGGTTTCCTATGCTAACTGAAGGTGACGTAGGTGGCTTCCCTTGTGCCTGCTGCCTAACCCTTTCCTGAGCTGCTGTCGGGGGCTATGAAAGGCGGGTAGATCAAGGAGGTTGAAGCTCTGCTTTATCTTCCTTTTTTTTTTGTAGCCCAACCAGGCCTTGAACTCTCTGTGTAGCTGAGGATGACGTTGAACTTCTTTTTAAAAAGTTAAAAAAAAATCATCTGTGTGTTTGTGTGTGTGTACGTGTGTGCGTATGTGTGATTGTGTGTGCCACATTGCACATGTGGAGATCAGGACAACTTTTGGGGATTGGTTCTTTCTTTCCACCACAAGAGTTCCAGGGGTCAGGGATCAAATTCAGTCTATCAGGCTTGGCAGCAAGCACCTTTACCCTGAGTCATCTTGTCGGCCTGACTTACTGGACCTCTTGCTCTACCCATGCACTGCTAAGGATTTACCCCAGGTCTCTGTGGTACAGCCAGGCACTCTCCCAAGGAAAGCTCCCCTAGCTCTGGTTCTTCATCTGCTGCTTCTGCATGCTCTCACCTTCTTCCCAGTGGTGTATGAACCAGAAGTCTTTCTACCTCACCTTGTATTGGGGAAATCAAAACACAGGTTGAAGTGACTTTCCTGAGCTTGTTTTTGGCAGAACAGAGAGGCCCAGGCACACCTCCACCCTCATCTTATTTCTGCTGTTGTTTTTCTTTCTCCCAGGTTCTTCTCATCCCCTGGGAGGACCACTAGGGATAGCAGTGTTGGTAGTAGGCCAGGGTGCTGCAGTGAACAAAAGACTCCCTGAGTCCTACGGATTGTCCCCAACTCCCCCCCTCCCCCGCAATGGGCACCGCCTTGACACTGTGCCGAATCTCCTTCCAGACTGGTGGTAGCAGTAGAAGAAGCCTTCATCCATATCCAGCGTCTCCAGGCTGAAGAACAGCAGAAAGCTCCCGGGGAGGTGATGGACCCCAGAGAGGCAGCTCAGGCCATCTTCCCCTCCATGGCCAGGGCCCTGCAGAAGTACCTCCGCACCACACGGCAGCAGCACTACCACAGCATGGAGAGCATCCTTCAGCACCTGGCCTTCTGCATCACCAACAGCATGACCCCCAAGGTGCGATTCCGGGGCCGGTAGGCAGACAGGTCCCAGGTTCGGCCAGCCGCCTGGCATCCTGTGTCTCCTCTGTGGTTCACCACCTCATTTGGAGACTTGTCTTTTATTTCTATGTACTTGTGTGTCTCTGTGTGAGCATCTCTTGTGTGTGTTTGGACGCCCCCTGCAAAGGCCAGAAGAACGTGTTAGGTCCCCGGAGGTAGAGTTACAGATGACTGCTCGTCTCCTGAAATGGGCACTAAACTTGAGCTGCTCGGTCTCTTTAACTGCTGAGCCAGGTCTCCAGCCCCACCCACCCTATTTGTTGACACAGGGGTGTCTCACTGATCCTGGGACTCAGTGATCCTGCTAGACTGGCTGGCCAGTGAGCCCTGGGCTCTTTTCTGTCTCCCCAACGCCGGGAAGACAGTAGGCACTGCCATGGCCATTGGGGGGGGGGGTCGCTAAGGATCTAAATACAGATCCTCACACACACTTGTACAACAAGCCTTTTACCCACCGGACCAGCTCCCTGGCCGGGTTAAATTGTTTTTTAAATGTCCATTTTGAAGGTCTCTCAGCAGGACAGAGTAGTGGCTAGGGTGGGCGCTTGTGCTAAACCAACCCATTTTAACCTGTAACCTGGACCCTCCACCAGCTGTCTGGCTGTCTGGCTTTGGTACTCTGCCTCAGTTTCCTGACCTGTAAATTGAGGCTGTTCTTCATACCTCATGTTAATTCATGTGATGATATGTTAGAAGTCATACCTGTCATTTGACAAAGTCCGACTAAACAGCTGTTGGTTTTCGGTAGAAATGATGTCACCATTTTGGGTGTTGTAGAATTTGTTTTTATGGAACTGTCTTTCAGATGATGGCATTAGTATGTTTTTAGGGATAGATATTACAGTATCCATCAATGCTATTTAATGCGGGACAATGGCCAAGAGGGAAAAGGTGGCTGCATCGGATGTTCAGATTCTCACCCGAACCACTTAGTTGGTTTGTAGCAGTGCACAGGTTTTTTTGTACTTGATTCATGCCATGTATAGGGATATCTGCTTGATGGGGTTGTTGTGTAAGAAATAATGATAAAGGAAGCTAAAAAGCATATACGTCTCATGAAAGCATGAATGGCCTTGGCATGGTGCCCGTGGAACATTTGATAGCTTTGTCCCGAAGACATCTAATTCTTATACTTCCCACAGGGGTCAGCACTACCGGCCTGGAAAAGCCATGTAGAAATATCCAGAGAGAAACTGTTAGGTTTTCCATTTCTTTGACTCAGCAGTCCCTCAACCAGGAAAATTCTCTAACACAGTCAGGTCCGTTGTGAGCTCGGTATCCACAGGTCCCACATATGTGGAGTCTGCCGGCCGTGGGTGGAAACATGCATCCCCGCACTGAACATGTAGACACACTTTCCTGCCCCACTGAGCGGGTGTGCACACTCCTGTCACTGTCCCCTAAACAGCACAGCGTAGCAGCTACTTAGCGTCACAGTGTCGAAGGTATCGCAAGCCACCGAGACATGACGCATCCTAAAGGACAGACGTCTGCAGGGTACATGCAGATGTCGTGGCATTTTCTATGAGGTGTGAACATCAGATTTTGCTCTATGAGGAGCAGCCTAGAACCAGCTTTTCAATTACTACCTGTAGGCACAACTCTCCATTAAAGGTGGGCTGTCCACCCCCCGAATATTCTATTTAATATTTAATATTAATAATGAATATTATTAATAAATATTTATTAATATTAATATTAAATATTTAATATTTAATATTCCAAACTGGCAATCATTTACAAGTGAAAGAGTGTCTAGCATGCTATAGTATATCATCTGTTGAAGACTTACGCTTTCTTAAGAAAAGTCTAATGTAGGAAGTTATGTTTTCACCTGGTTGTGGTAGCTTATGACTACAATCACAAGGCTTGGGCGGCTGAGGCAAAAGGATCATGAGTTCAGGGCTACCCTGGGCCATGTAGTAAGTTCTAGTCCAACCTGGGCTAGCTAGCAGAACCCTTCTTAGAAACAAACAAACAAACAAACAAAAACAAAACTTGAGCTGGTGAGATGGCTCTTTGGATAAAGGAGCTTGCCGCCAAACCTGAGTGCAAGTCCCAGAATCTATATGCTGGAGTAGAGAACTGACTCCAAAGTTGTTTTCCAACTACATAGATATCATAGCATGCATGTGTGTGCATACGCACATACATACGTGCAGAGTAAACAAACAAATGAAGTAATTAGAAACCCAAAACAAAAATCAAAAACAAATTTTGAGGAAAAAAAATAATAAAACACTGTTTTTCCCCACTACACCACACACACACACACACACACACACACACACACACACACACACACACTCCCTACAGTTTTTGCTGAGGTTGGTTGCTGTATGTTCTTTCAACTGTGTCTGCATTCTAGTTTTTAAGGCAGGAATGCTTTGATATTAGAAACATCTGTATTTTGATAACCTGCTTTCCTTGCTCAAAGCGTCTTGGCTCCTTCATTCCACACACGCAGACCTGGCTCACGAAGCTTCAGCTCCCTTCCCTCGAATAGCTGCTCCTGATTCCACCAGATCCGTAGACGTGCATAACCTCTTGTCTGTTGACACACATTTGAATTAAGTTACATGAGTCAAAGCACCTTCTTCTGTGCCTATTGCCATGGCTACAGCTGCTTGCACTGAGCTGCAGAGTGGAGGAGTTACGAAAGAGGACTGCTTGAAAACCCAAAATGACCTCGGCCCAGGACCAGATGAATACATGCCAGTGTTTTTCATTGTATATCATCTGTTCCTTCTTTCTCTCGACTAAACCGATTTATGTATTTAATTCTATGCCAGACAGATTAGAAAACAGTGGTGACATAGTTCTTACCCTCAGCACGTGTGAAGCCTGGTGGGGAGTGGGCAGCAAGTCATGATAGTTCAGGAAGTGACGTATGACACCATCCCGGTGATTTCAGGAGCTTCTGCAAAAGAATGTGTCAAGCCGTTTGAGAGGTTCAGGGAGATAGTGTAAGATGGGAAGGGCAAGAGAGGAATTTGGGCAGCAGAGCTCGGCAGGAGGAATGAATGGCACATGAGAGGATGTAGTGGAATCAGAGAGCTTTGGCTTGTTTGGTATCCCTGGAGTGAGAGCTCAGAAGAGTGGAGGGGGACATCGGGTCTGGCCATCTCTAGACAGGGCAGCACCGGCATCAGTTCTGTGTAAAATAGCCACCGTGCAATGAGCCCACTGGAGCTGTGAGTGCCTTGTGCAAACTGAACGTTCCCACCTCCTGGCAGCCCAGTGAGTGAGGTCCAGTAGTCTCTGCCCGGAGAGAGGGCACAAGACTGAGCAAAGGCACGCAGCCAGCAGGTGGTAGAGCGTGTCCTGATGTCTGCCTCAGATTCAGTGATGACTCCTCCGAGCCAGGTGCTCAGTCCACCCTCAAGAATCTTTTGCTATGGTGGGTGGAGGTGCCTGTGTCTCCAAGTGGCATTTATGTCAGCAGCGGCTTCTGACAAGCATGAGCAGTTAGGCTGCTTCCTTCACCTCACCTCACCCTCTGGTTGCAAAAGAGAAAAATGCAGTAAGTGGTCTGAGGAGTCTTTCTCCCCTCAGAGAGGGTCTCGCGCAGCTTCAGCGTGCTTAGCAGAACTCGGGTCTAAGGTGTGGTCGGATAACATTTCCCAGGGATAGGAAAGATGGCCCCTGGCCATGAAGCACAGCAGCCCTTGGCGCTTCCCTGATGTTCTTCCTTGGTTTTCAGGCTTTCCTTGAACGATACCTCAATGCGGGCCCCACCTTGCAGTATGACAAAGATCGCTGGCTGTCGACACAGTGGAGACTTATTAGTGACGAGGCTGTGACGAACGGGTTACGGGATGGAATTGTTTTTGTCCTCAAATGCTTGGACTTCAGCCTCGTGGTCAATGTGAAGAAAATCCCGTTCATCGTACTCTCTGAAGAGTTCATAGACCCCAAATCTCACAAGTTCGTTCTTCGCTTACAGTCTGAGACATCCGTTTAAAAGTTCTATACTTGTGGCTTTGTGAAAAAAACAAAAGAAGAATATATAGATAGATTTTATATATATATATGTATATGTATGTCCAGGGGGAAGTTCTTTTATAAAGACTTTTTTTTTTTTATTCTTCAATGCTGACTGAAACTGGCAGAGGATAGACCAGTATCCTTCGACCGTCTGCACTTTATTGGAAAAGAATCAAGTGATGTCCACCCTGACGAGCAGCTGGCGACTTCTTACTTTAATAAATGGAACTTCTGAAGAAGCTGTTCCCTGGAGTTTCTGCAACAGCTGAAAACCAAAGTGTAGCTGCTGTGTCCTCGGGAGCCTCGCCTTACAACTGGTCCCTGCCTATGGCCCAGTACCACATCCCCCTATCTTTCTGGTGTCCCCTTATAGATTCTAGGGGACTCACTGTTTTCTGCTTCAGGAGACCAGACACTACACAGCCACATGTGTGTTTGTACATGTAATTATCCATATCACTACACCACCCTGGGGAGTGGTGGGCAGTCCAGGAAATGTCCACACGCCTGAGTCTTTGTTCTTTGTTGCCTTAGATTCTGATAAGAGCCTAACAGAAAATGTGCACTGGCGGTTTGCAGCTGCTAAGTGATTTGCTTTTTCATTTTCCAGAGTGAGAGAGAGAGCCCTGCCTGCCCTGTTTCTGGCCCTGTTCCTTTTGGCCTGAGGCAGGTAGCCCTTCCTAGGCCGGATTGCCTACCTGGGCTCCACTCTAGTCCACTCTCCTGAGCATGGGACCAACCACAGCCCTGCCTGGTGGGCAGCCCTGGCCAGGCTAGCTGGGCCCTCAAGACTGACAGGGACTTGCCCTTCCATGTATACCCTCAAGCTCTTTGCACAGCCTCAGCCCCTCCCACAGTCTTTCTCTGGAGAAGTGGGGTATGACCCTGGGGAGCCATTCAGCTGCAGCGCCCCTTTTAAGCCTCAGCAAGAACCCCATCCACCTAGTTCCCCTTAGCCCTGCTTCTCGCAAACCAGGGGAGACCAACACTGTGACTCCCAGTTGGCAGGTGCCCCTTGGAGCCATCCAGTTTCCCAGGGAGACAAGCCCTCACAAAGCTCATGTGCCAAGCTGCCCTGCCACGGGAAACCAAACAATGCCCATCACCCTGGCAACTACTGCTGTCCCATCCCCGTGGTTTGTGACCACCACCGCCACTGTGCAACTTACCGAAAGGAAAAGGGTCGCTCTGCCCTTGCTGTACAAATTGCCCTTAATTATTAGTCAGGAAGAGAGGAAAAAGGGATGCTGCAGAACTGGGGAAAGGGAGAATAGGGATCAGTGTTGCAGTCTAGGAGGCCCCTTCTGTCTGCATGTTTTGTAGCTGGTTTGAGAGGACAGTGCAAGGGAGTGTCCGAAGACCTATGCCCTGACACTTTGAAATGGGCTGCCCTGGTCTGTCCGCCTTCCTCCATCTGAAGCGATGTTTCACAAAGTCCTCACTCTTTCTTTTCCCAGCTGCAGTGACCTTGTTTCAGAAAAGGAGGACACTGTCACCATGCCCAATATCAATGCTCCCGTACCCTTCCTGTGTATGCACCCCAACAGACCATACTATTTTGTCTCTCACTTAAAAAAAAAAAAATCCAAATTGGCTTAGGATATTTGTGATACTTAGAAAAGCCAGCATTACTCTTCGTTGGATTGACTTTTGGCTCGGAAAGTTGTGTCCGGGAAGGAAGGCGAATCCATGGACAAGGTACGGAGCCAGGATGCCGCATGTCAACCGCGTGGCTCCATCTGAGACAACCTAGTGTAGCCTTGGTGCTCTGGTCTTAGCTCTTCCCTTCAGGTCCCTTCCAACTGGAAGTTCCTCATGATGTCTTTCTCAGGAAATATTTTAGGAGAGAAGGTAAGGGGTGGGCAGCCCGTGAGAGACTGGCTGTGTGTGGAGGGGAATGCCGCAGAGCAGCCGCTCCACCACTAACGCCACGAGGTCGCCAAGTGCCAGAGTGTGATAATGTAGCGTTAAAAGCAACACTACTCAATGGTGTTTTAAAACACCGTGCTTCCAATCCTGTCTTAAATTAACGGGTCTTTTGAAGGGGTTAAATTGGAGTCATGCGTTGGCATGTGCGTGCCCAACAGGGCAAAGAAAGGTTTAAATTTTAAATTAAGGAATTAATTTATTTGTTTTTTTTTTTTTTTCTCCTGACCCTTCTCCCTCTGGTTTGCATAGGAGAATCTCAGACTTCCTGAAATTATTGTTTGGGTTGTAAATTGAATATTGATTTTTTTTTTCAAAATGCTAAGTTTGTATCAATTCTTTCCCCAAAGAAAAACAAAATTAAAGGCAGGATCCTAAAGTTCTTGTGTGCCCAGGATCTTAACAGCCTGAGTGGAAGTGGGAACCATGTGAATGATATTTTGTAAAAGAAATGTAAAGTTGCAGAAAGCTGCATCACACAACTGAAGACAATAAATTTTTATTTCATTTATTGGACCCTCAATAGCCTGCTCTTTTTAAAGAATGTAAATCGTGCCCTACAGCTAGCACGATGCATGAGCCTATTAGAGGACACAGGATTCCATTACCTTGAATGTTTATAGATTTTTTTTCCTTATAACTTTAAACCTAAGTTATTAAAATTCTAACATTAAATGTGAAAGAACTCAGTGAAGAGTGTAGTCTGATATTGCTTTCTTCTCCTTGGTGATTTTCATTATTTACAAAAGCAGACAACTTTTGTTCGGAAGTATGTGCTTTAAAAAAAAAAAAAAAAAAAAAAAAGGCAGTCTTTAATAGTCCATGAATGGAATGTTCAAGAAGTCAGAATAGATTTTAAAGGTTATAAGGCGCATTCATTCTTCGATTATCCATGGAGTCAAAACCTAGCTAAAATTTATAAAGTAAGCCCCAGAGAAAATGCTTAGCCATCTTTTTCCCCCAACAATTATCACCTTCCTTTGTTCCTCTGACTGTCCCTTCTGAGATCTGCAAGAAGACAGATTCTCTACAGCAGAGAGTGTGAAGCCAGTGGCCTGGGTACATTTGTGTCATTGCGAGTCCTTGTTAGGAGCGTGGGACTTCCTGATGAGTGGGGAGATTGGCCATGCTGGTGAGTCTTAGAAAGGCTCATGGTGCTTGCTCTTGCCACCCCCTGAGTCAGAGGTGGTAGTTCTACTGTCTATGTCATCACCTGGAGTGGGTGGATTAAATGTAACAGCTTGTCTTAGTAAAGGTCATTGCTGCTGTGATGAAACCCCATGACCAAAGCAACAGGGGAGGGAAGGGTCTATGTATTTTATGCTTCCACATCACAGTTCATCACCAAAGGAGGTCAGCACAGGAACTCAGACAGTGCCAGAACCTGGAGGCAGGAGCTGATGCAGAGACCATGGAGGGGTGCTGCTTACTGGCTCGCTCCTCATGGCTTGCTCAGCCTGCTTTCTTACAACACCCAGCACTAAAAAGCCCAGAGGTGACCCCACCCACAGTGGGCTGGGACCTCCTCCATGGATTACTAATTAAGAAAATGCTCTACAGGCCTGCCTCTGCAAACAGATGTTAGGAGGGCATTTTCTCAATTGAGTCTCCCTTCTCTCTGGTGACTCTAGCTTGTGTCATGTTGACACAAAACTGAACAGCACAGAGCTCTGTGTGTAGCTACTACCAACATATTGGACTCACGGAAATTGACTACTCATGCCTCCTCACTGACAATCGTTGACCCAGTGAAACAACAAAGCAGATTCCCCGGTTTGCCCTCTTCATCCCTGGCCCTGAGTGTGGATGATTGTTCTCACTTATATTTCTCTGAGTGTGGGTTGCTAGGTAGGCGTGTTTGCATGTGGGCAACCATGACATCTGTGCGAACAGTGACAAGACGGTATGTGTGTCATCTCTGCATGTACATGTGGCTGGGCCTGGGAGGGTTTCCATCTCTGTTGAAGAGAGTTCCTCGGGGCTGGCTTATGTCTGTACTCTCCTCTATTCCTTATGCTGGCTTCTCCCCAAGGAGATGTCTGTGGGAGCCTGTTGTCACCCGGTGGTGGCCTGCTCACTAATTTTTTTCTTCTTGTATAAGGACCTCTATGACCTGCAAACAGCAAGAAATAGACAAAAAAGAGTACAAACTCCATGGAGTTTACTGCTCAGGTTTCACTACCTTGGAAGCCTCCAGCACATTTATTAATGTAACTTAAAAAAAAAAAACAAAACCAATTATTAGTTATTGGGATTGCCAGAGATGGCCATGTGATCATTTAAAGAGTCCTGTAGCAAAGACCCTACGATTATCGAGTGGCATAAAGTATTTCTGGGTAGTGTTTGCTCTTTATGGCTCTTGTTACACACACACACAAACACACACAAACACAATCACTACTGTGAATTTACCTCTATGTAACCTTGTCATATCCCATTATAAATAAAACATACCTTTTTTTTTAAGCCCGTAGTGCAGTTCTTGAATGGTACTCAGCAGGGTCATGAGCTGACACTAGTTTGGTTCCATTGAAACCACCTTACTGAGCTTCAATCAAATGGGTGCTCAAAAAACCAGATTTGGGGTCACACTTTTTTATTAACTTTTATGGGTTATTGTGCAGAGTGACAGATTTCATCGTGGCATCATTCTACTGAAAATGAATGGGGTCCCTACTTTGACAAAGCATTATATTTTGGTCTAGAGGAAGGGAAGGAAGAGGAGGGTTGCTAATATTCTCCAGGTGTTACATATCAGACACTGGCCTGCACAGCTTGCCCTCCCCACATATCCTAGAGGTCCTTATATTTGCAGGTGAGAAAGAAGGTTGAAAGCTTGGCTGGTAAACCGTATTTCAGACAATCTTTTAGAGCCCAGCCCTCTGCCCACTCTACCCAGAAGCATGATCTAAGCAGTTTGGCATTTCTGGGTGTGGAGGAGGGACCTGCACACAGCAACCTTGAGTGGGAGCCTGAGGCGGAGAATTCCTCAGGAGAAAGGTCATTTCATTCACTTGAGGTTTATACGGTTTGGTCCCGTGGGAAGCCTCTCCACCAGGCTGACCATTGAGAGCAACAGAAGAAGGTCCTCTCCTCAGGAAAGCCCTAACGGGCCAGGCTTGGGCTGCTGCAGCCGCACCTCGAGTAGCCACCTCCATTTGCTTCCAACCCAGTCTGCCTTTCCCTGCTGGACCTGGCCAGGGCAAGACACTCCCTTGGGTCTTGGGCATAGGGGCCTCAGCTGGCTTTTTCAGGCGAGAGGGCTAAGTCAGCCCAGCTCAGGTGGGATAAGAGATTGGCTGCACCCAGTCAGGCGGGTGGAGATCTGGGGCCCCTGGTCTGGCTCGGCTTCTCCCCACTTCCCCATACCTACCCTTTGGACTGTGGGCAGAGTACACGTATGATAGAACCCAGGGGGCCGAGGGAAAGAAAAGCAGACCTGTTTGTTCTCTATCCCACTGTCTGTGCTGTTTCAGTGGGAGATGGAGGGAGATGGAGGGCTGGTGTTCACGTTGTCACTGCACTGGGAGTTAAGATGAGCTCCCCAGAGGTTGACAGATAGTGAAAAGCTGCGGAATGAAACTAGAGCGTGACACTGAGTCCCTTTTAGCCCATCCTGTCCCATTTCTACCTACGTTCTCCAACTTGCTTCACCTATGAAATGCGTATCTCTGTTGGATTATTGTGGAGTGAGGTTTCCAAACACAGCAGAGATTCCTGAAGCCTGAGCCAGTGCAGGTAAGGCGGCTTTCTCAGAAAGCCCAATGACTTGTTCTCATCTAGATGAAATAAAGACACTTTTGTGTTAACTGCCAGGGACAAATGTAACATTCTCCCAGGCTTTTATCTTGAGAGTCGGATTCTTTTGACCCTGACCCAGCATTTGGATAAAAGCATTTGAGCATGCAGTTTGTCTGGCTTTGCCTGTCTTTCTGTTTCTCTGAGCATTCAGGCATGGCCAAGAGCATTTGCTGTGAATTTGTTTGTGTAGGACAGTGGTTTTCAAGCTCCCCAAGGCTGTGACCCTTTAATTCAGTTCCTCATGTTGTGCTGGCCCCCAACCATAAAATTATTTTTGTTGCTACTTCATAACTGTAATTTTGTTACTGTTCTGAATTGTGATGTAAATATCTGTATTTTCCAGTGGTCTTAGGATACCCCTTGTCAAAGTTATTCAGCCCCCCAAAGGTGATCCACAGGTTGAGAATTGCTGATGTAGGCATTTTCAAACCAACAACCTATGAAAACATCAAATGACAGACCTTCCCCCAGAGAAATAGTTATGACTTTCAGACCCCTGAACCACAGTGGCAAGTTTAGTTCAATTTGCGTTAAAAGTAATGTAGCCAGGAGCATGCCACTTCCATCGTAGGAGCCGGGAAAGGACATGTGGCCGCTGCTTTCAGGTGCTGCTGTGCCTCCGTGACAGACAAAGGAGTAGTCATTTAGCATGGTCACTCTTCCTTCAAATGGGGGCACAAGAAAATCTGATGTTAATGTCTCATTTTTTATGATGTTTACTCTATGCTTTAAATTTCCAGATCTCCTGGAATCCCAAAATTATGACCTGCTTAACCAAAGTTCATTTTCAAGTGGCCACAGACGAGAGCAACTACTTCACGGAGTGCAGGACACCCGCAAGGACGCAACAGTGACAGACACTGTCGCACCGGGAAAATGACCTGAACTCCGGTAAGGACGAGAAATGCCTGGGCCGGGCCTTAGGGGAGAGGTCATCTGACGGTTGCTTTTGTGAGCAGGTATTCTCGTCTCTGGATTCTGAACCCACCATCTGTCCTCATCTGGTAGAGTCAACAATACAGAGTAGGTGGCCAGGGACCACGTTCTTTTTGAATCGTTAATGCTACGCTTTGAAACCAGGAGGGACAGTTTTGGCCTAGCCTGCGCTTAGAGTCAGAAGATGTCTGGATGTATGCTGCTGCATTGAATGGGTGGTACACCCTAACTGGACGTCTCTGAACATGTAAGGAAATGAATTACATGACTCGTCGGTGTATGCACAAGTCCCTCTGTGTCGCTAAGGTTTGTTGAATGGAATGCCCTATCATGATGTTGGTAACAGGCTGGGGTCTCATTGGACAGACTGTACCTAATATCCAATGTTATTTGGGTTTCTTTTGGGTCCTCCATCACTGCCCTCCCCCCTTCCTAATGAACTATGAAGCATTTTACACATTACATATGCTATAAGCTTGGAAAATAAATTGAGACCCCAAGTTGTATCCTGTCTTCCTTTCTGTTGTGACTATTTTGGTTTTAAGTTCTCTCTACTTTTTGAGGAATGTTTTCGGTCTCGATTTGATTTTCTGGCAATCACATATGTTTCTATGAAAATCAAGTGAGTTGTGATAGAGGAGAAAGGGCAATGATCACCATAATAAAACGAACATTTGCTGATCACTTTATGTGGAGGAAAATTCTAAGTGAATGCATAGCAAAAGATGAAATCCTTAGGCCCTAAAACCTGGAGAGAAGCCAACCTTTTGAGTAAATCAAGTGAAAAACATTTGAGACAAGGAAAATAGAAGGGAACCGTCTTATCCTAAAAGGTGTATAGTCAGTTGTGTTTGGTAATTCATTTTACCTTGGTAATTGGTTTGAAACCGTTGACTTACTTGAGATGAGGGAAGCAGAGTTCTTGATGAAGAAAGTTGATGTTTTCT